TGAAAAATACCTCTGATGTATCTCCCTGCACAATGATATCACCAATGTACTCCAGGTGCTCAGGAGCACCACCCTATTCTAATGGAGTTTGGATCAACCCATGGCAAATGGTTGGGCTGTGTTTCCACCCCTGGGGCAAATGGTTCCAAGTATACTGAACGCCCCTCCAGATGAAAGCAAACTGTGGCCTGCATTCTGTAGCCAAAGGGATGGAGAAGAAGGCATTGTCAATGTCCATGGTGACATGCTGTATGGCTGCTTTTGACTACAGTTCATACTGGAATTCTAACATATCTGGCACAGCAGCACTCAGTGGGGGTGTGACCTCATTCAGGCCACGGTAACCTACCATCAGCCTCCATTCTCCACTGGCTTTAAGCACTGACCATATCATAGAATCACAGAATCACAGAATCACAGAATCACAGAATCACAGAATCATAGTATCATAGAATCATAGAATCATAGAATCATAGAATCATAGAATGGCCTGGATTGAAAAGGACCACAACGATCATCCAGTTTCAACCCCCTGCTATATGCAGGGTCACCAACCACCAGACCAGGCTGCCCAGAGCCACATCCAGCCTGGCCTTGAATGCCTCCAGGGATGGGGCATCCACAGCCTCCTTGAGCAACCTGTTCCAGTGTGTCATCACCCCCTGTGTGAAAAACTTCCTCCTAATATCTAACCTAAACCTCCCCTGTCTCAGTTTAAAACCATTCGCCCTTGTCCTATCCGTTTTGGGAGATTGATAACATGAGCACAAACACAATCACTATCTCAGCATTCCAAAAATGCATAAAGAACAAAGAGGAGAGCCTGGAAACTGGTTTGAACATTGTGTTGTTCGTAAAATCAGCTATTTCATCTGGGATGTAATTGTCAATATTCAAATCATACAACATCGAATACGGGTACCAGGCAGGTGTCTCATCAGTGCCCTTACTTGCTTGTATATTCATACAACTCCACAACAGGAAACGATGAACCTAGTAAGAAACCAGTTAAGTTCCAAAAAACATAATGGTCTTTAATCCTTCATGTTCTAAAATGAAGAACAGTTTCATAGCTGGCAGTTGCTAAAAAGGAAAAAAAAAAAACCAACAAACCAACAAAAACACTCAGTACAGAGTCCGGAGCCTGGCAGACTGCCCCTACAGTCTAATCTATGAAGGTCAAAGCTAGCTACCAGCGCTCTGCAACTCTCTGACTTAAAGAAATCCTTTTTTTTCTGCTAATGTTAAACAGTTCAGAGTGCCTGCTTTCTCCACCAAAATCTGTCACGGAGTTATCTAGATCAATCTCTATCCACCATGGGGCAGCAGGCCTGCAGGCCCACTGGCCCGAAAAAAGGGAAAGGGTAAAAGGGAGAGCAGGGAGATGGGAGCTGAGCCCAAAGACAGAACAGCAGCAACAATCTGAGAAGGAAAGTTGATTTTACTAAATTGCAAGATTACACAATAGAATACAGTATAATTGGAATTGAGTCTAATAAGTCAAATAAAATGAGAGAGAGTGTCCGAAACCGAAGGCCTTACTTTGAATTGAAGGTGGAATGGCTGGGGAGCCACCCACACACTGCCAGGCAGCAAGAGAGAATCCCATCACTTGTGGGTCTAATCTTCCCCTCTGAACACAGTGATGTCCTCTTGGATATGTAGCTCTTCTTATCTGAGAACCAGGTATCTGGAAGTGAGTCCACGGAACTGGAGTATTAATTCTTTAATTCCATGAGTTTTACAGCATGTTATGATGTGGAATACTGATAATAAAAATCATAAAACTATGACACAGACACAGAACAGCTCTTGCTGGGTCCTTCTCGGTCTTCACTGGTGGCCAGGATTCTAGTCTTTTTCACGTCCCTGAACCCTGCATCCCCAAACCTCTATGTGGGGACTAAGGAGGTAAATCCCTCCCCACTGTAAGGGCAGAGCAAGTCCGAGAGTGCCTCCTTAGACTGAATGAATTCAAGTCTATGGGGCCGGATGGCGTGCATCCCAGGGTCCTGAAGGAGCTGACTGAGGTGGTTGCTGAGCTGCTCTCCATCATATTTGAGAAGTCGTGGCTGTCAGGTGAGGTCCCGGATGACTGGAGGAAGGGTCACGTCACTCCCATATACAAGAAGGGGAGCAGGGAGGACCCGGGGAACTACAGGCCAGTGAGTCTCACCTCCGTGCCTGGGAAGATCATGGAACAGATCCTCCTGGACAACATGCTCGATCACATAAAGAATGAGCATGTGATCCGAGACAGCCAGCACGGCTTCACCAAAGGAAGGTCATGCCTAACTAATCTTGTGGCCTTCTATGATGGAGTGACGGCATTGGTGGACGAAGGGAAGGCGACTGATGTCATTTACCTGGACCTGAGCAAGGCCTTTGACATGGTCCCCCACCACATCCTCATCTCCAAATTGGATGGAAGTGGATTTGATGGGTGGATGACCTGATGGATAAGCAATTGGTTGAAAGGCCGCAGACAGAGGGTGGTGGTCAATGGCTCTATGTCCAGGTGGAGGCCGGTAACAAGTGGTGTCCCCCAAGGGTCTGTCTTGGGACCGGTGCTCTTTAACGTCTTTATTAATGACATCGATGAGGGAATTGAGTGCACCCTCAGCAAGTTTGCTGACGACACCAAGCTGAGTGGTGCAGTTGATACGGTGGAAGGAAGGGAGGCCATTCAGAGGGACCTCGACAGGCTGGAGGGCTGGGCTCGGGTGAACCTAATGAGGTTCAACACGGCAAAGTGCAAGGTTTTGCATTTGGGCCGGAAGAACCCCAGGCACCCGTACAGGCTGGGAGGAGTGGTCCTTGAGAGCAGCTCGGCAGAGAAGGACCTGGGGGTCCTGATGGACGAGAGACTGAACATGAGCCAGCAGTGCGTTCTGGCAGCTCGAAAGGCAAATGGGATCCTGGGCTCCATCAGGAGAGGGGTGGTCAGCAGGGACAGGGAGGTGATCGTCCCTCTCTACTCGGCTCTTGTGAGGCCCCATCTGGAGTACTGTGTCCAGGTGTGGAGCCCTCAGTACAAGAAAGACATTGAGATTTTGGAAAGGGTCCAGAGGAGGGCGACTAAGATGATCAGGGGGCTGGAGCACCTCCCCTATGAGGACAGGCTGAGGGAGTTGGGCTTGTTCAGCCTGGAGAAGAGAAGGCTGTGGGGTGACCTCATTGCAGCCTATCAATACCTGAAGGGAACCTACACCCACGAGGGGAGTAAACTCTTCAAAAGGGCTGACAACAGCAGGACTAGGGGAAATGGATCCAAGTTGAAGGAGGGAAGATTTAGGTTGGATGTTAGGGGGAAGTTCTATACAAGGAGAGTGGTTAGGCCCTGGAACGGGCTGCCCAGGGAGGTTGTGGATGCCCCGTCCTTGGATGTGTTTAAGGCCAGGTTGGACAGGGTCCTGGGCAACCTGATCTGAATGTGTGTGTTTGGTGGCCCTGCTAGGCAGGGGGGTTGGAACTACATGATCCTTGAGGTCCCTTCCAACCCGGGTGATTCTGTGATTCTGTGATTCTGTGTGTGATTCTCATTGGGAGTCTCAACAAACTCATAGAACCACAGACTGCTTGGGGTGGAAGGGTTCTTAGATCTCACTCAGCCCCAAACCCCCTGCCATGGGCATGTTGCCCCCCACCAGCTCAGGCTGCCCAGTGCCCACCCAGCCTGGCCTCAAGTGCCCCCAGGGAAGGGCACCCACAGCTTCTCTGGGCAGCTGTGCCAGTGCCTCACTGCCCCCTGAGTAAAGCGTTTCCCCCAACAAGTAATCCAAATGTCTTCATTCTAAACATTTCCCCTTCATCCTATCACTATTAGACCACATTAAAAAGTACTTCTTAGGTTGTTCTTTATTTTAAAGGCAGCTGTACTTTATTTTAAAGATACATCTTCCCCTTTGAAGGTATTTCCCTCAAACTCAGGCTGCAGAGTTCCTATCTCCTCTGCTGCTGTTGGACTGGGGGCTGCTTGAATCTCCATTGCATTTACACATCTCCATTTCTGCCAAAACTGCAGCACAGGAAGTTCCACACAAATGTGCGCAAGAACTTCTGTACAGTGAGGTGACGGAGCACTGGAACAGGCTGCCCAGGGAGGTGGTGGAGTCTCCTTCTCTGGAGATGTTCAAGACCTGCCTGGATGCCTACCTGTGTGACCTGCTGTAGGGAACCTGCTTTGCCAGGGGGGTTGGACAATAATCCCTGGAGGTCCCTTCCAACCCCTATGATTCTGTGATTCTGTGATTTCCTGTAGCCTTCTTTCCCACCCTTTGACCCGGGTGAGCATCTTTTCCTAACCAACGCATCATAAAAGCAAATCATATCTGATTTAAATTGCCATGTTTGGCCTCAGTTCTGCTTCTTTAAGCCAAGGGTTGCAGTATAAGAACATCCTGATATCCCTCCGTTTGTGTGGAACAGTGCTCTGCCATATGAACGGTCAGCTGATGGGAGTAGCATGGAGACTTTGCAGGAGCCCTGCAGCACTCTGAATATCTCCCGATACCTCCCCTTTTCTGTTCGTGCTGCGCTTCCTGGCAGCATCAAATGAAAATATTTCTATCGTGAGCTGTAGTTGTCAAAGCGCTCTGGGTTCTGAGTGAAAACTTTGGGACTCAGAAAGTCGTTTATTTCAGTAGTGGCAAAAAGAAGAACGCAGCAGTTTCAGGGTGCAAGGAGCGGACTGTGGCATGAGTGAGTGTTGGGTACCTGTGTCCGGTGTTCTCCGTCCTTAGAGCATTCGTCGGAGCCTTCGCAGCAGTGCAACCGCGGTCCCCACGCCCAACACCGCGCGGCTCTCAGCCGCATCCCGGTCGCTTGGAAGAGGTGCGAAGGTGTGAGGAGCTGCGACGGCCCGATTCCTCCTCGACTGTGTTCTGGGTTTTGTTTTGGAGACCGATTTCCTGCCTCTGCCCGCCCCCCGCCTCCCGGCGCTCAAATACCGCGGCGCAGCGCTGCCGCTCGGACACCGCTGCTGCGCGCGGCTCGCGCCCATGGTGGCGGCAGCGAACGGGCGGCGGGGAGCCACCCCGCAGCGGCTGAAGAGCGGCGCCGGGCCAAGGTACTGCCCGGCGCTCCTGCGGCGGCGGCGGCGGCGGCGGCTGGAGGAGGAGGCGACGAGCGCGGAGAGCCGCCTGGAGCTGCAGACCTTCCGCGAGTACGGGGAGAGCTGGTACCGCTCCCGCAAGGCGCTGGAGAGCCGCTTCCAGCCGCGGGAGCCGCTTGCCCGGCAGCCGCAGGTGGGGACTTCGGGGAGAGTGGGGCCCGGTCCGGCCCGGCTCGGCCCGCTCCGGCCCGGCCCGGCCCGCTCATCCCGCTTCTGTCGGCGCAGGTGACGGCGGAGGCGCGCTGCCGGCTGATCAGCTGGCTCATCCCCGTGCACCGCGAGCTGGGGTACTCCTTCGAGGCGCTCTGCCTGACTGTCAACATCATCGACCGTTTCCTCGACACCACCCCGGTGGCCGCCGACTGCTTCCAGCTGCTCGGGTCCACGGCGCTGCTCCTCGCCTGCAAGCAGGTACGGCCGAGTGAGTGCGAGCCGGTCGCCCTCGCGCGCCGGCAGCCTCTTTCCTCGCTCCGTCCTTCCCCCCACAGGTGGAGATGCACCCCCCCAGCGTCAAGCAGCTCCTCGCCCTCTGCTGCGACGCCTTCAGCGGGGAGCAACTCCGCAACCTGGAGTGCATCGTCCTGCACAAGCTGGGTTTCAGCCTGGGAGCGCCCACAGTCTCCTTCTTCATCGAGCATTTCACCCGGGTGCGGCTGGAGGCTCCGGGCGCCGACTCCGACGAAGCGGCGGACGCGGGGAGCCTGGCGCGGGGCGTAGCGGAAATCAGCCTGGCCGACTACACCTTCACCAAGTACCCGCCGTCGCTGCTGGCCGCGGCCAGCCTGGGGCTGGCGGACCGGCTGCTCCGGCACAGCAGCCCTCTGGACCTGCGGGTCAGCGGATACCGGCGGCGGGAGCTGCGGGACTGCATGGCTGAGCTGCGGCTGCTCGTGTCGCTCAACGCCGCGGCGCTGCCGCTCGTGCTGCCCGCGGAGGTGGTGCGGAAGTGCCTGTGGCTGAGGGACGGCGACTGACGGCGGGGCTGCGGGAGCCCCGCACTGCGCGTGGCCTCGGGTCGGGAGGTGACCGTGTGTGGCACCGCGGAGAATATGCGCGTGGTCGCTCACTGATCAGAGATTGTTTTGTGTTTCTGCATCCAGCGTGTAAATAATACACACATACCCGGGTACCGCGTTATTTATTCGGGGGGCTGTCCGTAACGGCACCCGAGCGGGAGGAGAGCCCGAGAGAAGCGAAATAAACTCTATTCCTGTACATCACCTGCGCGTGGTTCATTGCCTGGGGCAGACGGGGGGTGGAGGAAGGTGCGCGGGCGCAGCGGGGATCACATCTACAATCAGGTCCCACTAACAATTAACCCGCCAGAGTGATCTCCTGTTTCACACCGTGTGCTGGCTCGGTGATGTTCGTGATCAGGAAGAAAAAAGCAAAACATTCGGCGCAATGTAAGAGAACGGAACGGTACAAAAGACACTACGGGACTGCTAACTTTCCTGGCCAGCCAAGTGGCCGTGTGGCACCGGGAAAAAATAAAGGGAAAAAAAAAAAAAAAGGTAGAGTAAGTTTAAAAAATCAACAGGAGAGACGTAACACGACAGCGATCTTTCTTTATTTCGTTGCCCGTCCGCGCATAGAGGTGCGTAGGGGGGACCGCACCCACACCGTGTGCACGATGCCAGTGGTCAGGTTGTCTGTCCCCGTCGTACGCCGTTCAGCGGAAAGCCCCGACACGGCGCGGAACCACGGCGCGGAGCCCCAGCGCGCAATCCGACTCCCGCCCACCTTCCCCCGCCGGGACCCGCGGCGGCACTCCGGGCCTGGGGCGGCCGTGCGGCGCTCGGGGTGGGGGCTCTGCGCGGCGGCTCCGCCCCGCCCCGACAGCCCAGCGGCACCGCGGGCGCGGGTTCCGCGGGCGCGGGCGCGGGGTTGGCGGGATGTTTCCCCGCCCCGGCAGAGGGATGGAGGCGGGTGGGCATCCCGCGGGCTGGCTCCGGCCCCGGCTCCCCGCGGCCCCACTGCGCGCCGAGCGGGGAGCGGAGCAGAGGCGTCGGCCAGGTCGGGGGCGACGCGACGGCATGGAGCAGGGCGGCCGCCGGGCTTTCGGCAGCATCTGCCCCAACCGGGCGCCGAGCCCGCCCGTCCGCGGAGCTAAAAAGCCAGACCGGCCAAGCGGGGCGGCGGCGGGGACATCTCCGACAGGGCTGAGCCCTCGCGGACACGAGCCCCGGCCCCGCCGCGGCCCCTCCTGCCCGGCCGCAGCTCTCTCTCACCGCCGTCTCTCGCCGCCCACGGCGCACGCCGCCCGTGACTGGCAGGAGCTGGTAGCCCGCGGCCCCGTCCTCCCAGCCGCCATGGTCGGCCCCGCCGCCCCACCGCAGGTAACCCCGCAGGTCATCCTGCGCGGCTCTGGCAGTGCGAGAGCTTTGCGGCTGTCGGAGCCAACTCCACCTCTTCACCGGTCTTCATTCGTCCCCAGGGCCCGTGCCTGCAGGATGAGCCGGAGTTCGATTTCCAGGATCTCAGAGATGCTGTCCATGATTTTATGTCTGGCAAGTAGATGTCCATCCTCTCCTGGCCAGATGTGGAGTAACGCAGTGTCTGCGTGCTGCGTTCGGCCTGCTTCTGTTTTTGCTTTCTCGGGTGTTTGGATGCTTGTGACGGCCGACACGGCAGCGCGTCCCCTTGGGGGTAGAACTGAAACCCAGGTGGGGCCAGTGCGCACAGCAGGGACACGGCCGCCGGGGGGTGCTCAGAACGGGGACGGTGAGTCAGGGTCTGAACCCCCAGCCCTATGCCATCACCCTCTGGGTTTTCTCTCCAGATGCCTCCACCTGGGTGCCCCCACCGCTGGACTGCGCTGACTTCGACTTCTCCCTCGGCGAGGACGTGGCCTTAGGCACCTGTGTGGAGCGCCCGCAGCCCCCGGAATCCCTGCAGCCGTGCTGGCAGGACGCGGCCGAGAGACAAGGGCAGGCGCTTGGAGATGCTCTGGAGGAAAACAGCCAGGTAGGGCCCGGGCCGAGCCGTCATCCCGCTGGGGAGGCTGGCACGTCCCCGTGTTCCTCAGGCGCCAGAGCTGTCCCGAGCGCCCACTGTCCGCTCGTGCCCGCAGCTGCAGGAGGCTCTGGCGCAGAAGCAGGAGGAGCTGGAGACGCTACGGGAGAGCAACGTGCAGCTGAAGGAGCTGGCGAACCAGGCTCGGCAGCTGGCCACGGTGCTCGACGTGAGTGCCGCCCACCGGCAGTGCGGGGCGCGGGGCGGCCGGGCCGTACAGCGTGTCGGGGCGAGGCGCTGCGGGGCTACGGAGCGGCGCGCTGAAGCCTCTCTCCCTCCGGCAGAAGCTGATGCTCCCGGCGCGCCCCGGCGGCGCGGCTCTTCCTCCTCCCGCTCCTCCTCCTCCCGCCGGGTGCTGCGGGCGCGCGGAGGCGGCGGGCGTGGGCGGCATGCTGCGGGCGGTGTCGGCGCAGTGCCGCGCGGCTCTGCGCAGCCTGGCGGGCAGTCCCGCCGCCAAGCGCCCGCGGCTCCAGCACGTTGGCCGTCCCGCAGGGCAACGCGTTCACCTTGCACACCGCCGACGGAGGGTACCGCTTCCGATGGGTGCCGCGCTGAGAGCCCGCGGGGTGCCCTCCCTGCAGCGCTGCTCTCTGGGGCGAGAATGGGCAACTTTTCGGATGCCCGAGGACTTTGCGCTGCGGAAGGGCGGGAAGAGAGAGCGCTGTGCACGCGCGTGGCCGAGCAGCCGGTCGGCTGCCTGCCCTCGGGAGGTGCTGCGGCGCGGGGATTTGGGGAGAACTGCATCGGCCCGGCTGATAACTCGCCGTCAGTATGCGGGCTAATGGATGCGGAGCCACCGTATTGCGCAAATCTGCCCGGCTTGCGCAGTGGAACACGGAATCGTCGCTGGAAAACGGCTGCTGAAAACTACAGCTGTGACAAGAGCAGCGGCTGCAGACAGCCTGTGCCACAACGAGCGTGCCCTCCGGTGTATTTGGATGTGGCTGCGCTCCGCATCGTGATGTTTTAAATCCACAGTGTTTACAAATTGCAGTTTGTCATTCATGTCTGCTACTGTCCATGTGTGCTTGCACTCAGTGCGATGATTAAACAGTGCCTAAAATTGCCTTTGGTTTGTACTTACTTAGCACTGCAGCATTTTGCATTACACTTACGTATTTTCTTTCATCAGAGCAAGTCCAGCAGCAAGCTGTGCTTCCACATGGAGCCCCTTTGCTCCCTGTGCCCAAGCAGAAAACTTCAGGGTGGAACACACTGCTGCTATTGCTCAGCGCTGTTGCCTGAAGCAAGAAGTGCCGCTGACACTCAGTCTCATGAGTGGATATGTGTCACTTGCCCCCATGGCTGGAGAGCTGAAACACCAACTGCACAAAATGACCGCCCACTCCTTTCCTGTGACACATGAACCAGTGAAGGCACCGTTCTTTGCCCAGGATGGAGATTTGGTACCTGTGAAATGATTGTTTTTTCCACTTCTCTACACTGGGATGTCCCAGAATGCCAAACAGGCTAGCAGAAAACCAGCAGCACTGTGCTATACCACTGTGGTGGCAGCCATGTTCCATGGTCTCAGTGGAACATGTCTTAGGGCAGCTGCAGCTCTGCCCTCAGTGTTGTGCATGTGGTTCCTTGGAGACAGTAGAGATCCGAGTGTCTGAGACCCTCAGTGTCTGTGGTCCTTCAGTGCCTATGGACCTCCAGCATCCATGTCCCCCAGTACTGCAATCATTCAGCAGCTGTGGCCCTGCTCTCTGGCAGTGACACTGCAGCAGGGCTGGGGTTGGGATGCTGAGGGCTTGTCCCTGGGACAAGTACAGAGTCATTCAGTTCTTAGAGAAAGACCTTTATTACTGTGGCAGAAATACTGTGTGAGAGGGCAGGAGAGAAAACCTGTGCTGAGCTGCACTCAGAGCGTAAACTGATAACACAAAGTAGCTTGTACAGATATTTCCTCTGTATGTAGACATAGATATATGCAGTATATATATATAGATACATATATAGATGTAGTTCATAATTCTCATAGACATTCCTAGTGACATGTAAGAAATGCAGAATTCTGGAGGTTCCAACAACAAAATGATCACTCTATGACTGTTGCTAGCACTGTTTTTACTGCTGCTTTGTCTTTTCAGAGCTAAAGGTAAATGCTCATTCACTTAATCTTGCAGTTAACTACACTACACTACACTTGATCTTAGCCAAAAGGCTGAGAAGCAATAAAGAGGTAAAGGGTGATAAGAGGTAAGGGGTTTGGGAACACCTCAGGTTCTGTTCTCCTCTATCACTCCAGTTATAGGGAATAATGAGGCACTAAATATAATGGGCCAATGGATTAATACCTGGCTCAGAGCCTGGTGTGCCTGGCAGGGATTTGGGTTTTTTGACCTCTGCGCTGTTTGCACAAGACGAGGCTGGCTGGCAACCGGTAGGAGTAACTTCTCCCACCGGTGGAAAGGGGTCTTGAGACGCGAGTTGGAAAGGTTCATTCATAGACCTTTAAACTAGGTACGAAAGGGGGTGGGGGTGTAACCGGGGTCACTGGAATGGAGCCTGTATGTCACGTCCAGTGCTTGTAGGAGAGGGATATGCTAGTAAGATCCCACAGTCTTGTGTCTTGGTGAAGGAAGAGGACAACTCAGCCTTTTGTAGGAGAACACGAGGGTTGACGTGAGGTTTGTGGCTATGGAAACACCTGAGTACGGTCATGAAGGTATTAGGGCTACTGCCACTCAAAAGGAGGCCCAGTTCAGGTGCCCCACTAATGCACACAGCATGGGTAATGAACAGGAGGAGCTGGCGCCCATTGTGCGGTCAGAAAGCTATGATACAGCTGCCATCATGGAAATGTGGTGGAATTACTCACACAGCTGGAGTTCTGTGATGGATGGCTACCGACTTTTCAGAAGAGACAGGCAAGGCAGGAAGGTGGTGGTGTAGCCCTCTATGTTAAGAAAGAATGTGAATGTGTGGAAATTAATGATGGTGATGATAGGGC